GTTTCTGATCAATTTCTGCTGAGAATATTCTTCCATACAAATAAACAAGACATTTTTACATCCGTAAACTAGTTCCAGTGTTTCTTTTTTAATTTGTGCATATGATTTTTCTGTATTCGTCAATGCCACAGGCATCCATCCCGAGCCTTGATTTCGAAAACAGAACTGCTCCCAATCCATTCTGTGAAGCATCAGTTGACAACTTTGGTTTTGCTTTTGGATCAAAGAATTGCAGTAGTAAGCATTTCCTACCATAACTTCCATTCTTTCTGGTAAATCTCTGACCATTCCCAGGCATAGCTTTTTCTGAGTAGTTGGTGCATTAGTGCAGTTTTGTATGGTAAGTTAGGTATGAACTTGCCAAGGTAATTCATTATTCCTAGTAAGTGTTGTATGTCCTGCTTATTTTCTGGCTGTAGCATTTCAGTAATTGCCTTAATCTTTTTCATGTCCGGTAAAACACCATCTCCAGTGAGTTGTTCTCCCAAATATTGAATTTAAGTTTTTCTGAATTGACACTTTGTCTTATTAAATTATTCTCCTTAGCAACATCTAAGAAAAGAAAAAGTTACCTGCGCTGTCTCCTTAATCCCTATGTATATTTAGACAAATGGAGGTCATTTAGTTGCTCCAATGGCCATTGGAGGGAATGCCCGCCTGCCAACGTCAAGGCAGACCACCCTAAAGCGGGTCCTTTGCTGACCCTTCAGCCTGCTTCCTTGAGCTTCTGGTAAAGATATCTCTAATGAGACAGAGGGGTATTTTTTATATACACCCCTCTATACTTATTAACAAAGTTGGAGCAACTAAATGACCTCCATTTGTCTAAATATACATTGGGATTAAGGAGACAGCGCAGGTAACTTTTTATTTTCTTTGGTTTTTACTATATATTGGGGCTGATGTGTACTGCAGTCATTGCTGCCGGCCCAGTAGTGATGGGAGTGAGCGCAGGACTTATCTTTTTGTATTTGTATTTACTTTGTATCACACAGCCTTGTTACAATGCTGCCGCCCATCCCATGTGTTCCCTATTAAGTGTTAATAAGTATATAGGGGTGCATATAAAAAATACCCCTCTGTCTGTTTTCAATTAGAGATATCTTTGCCAGAAGCTCAAGGAAGTAGGCTGAAGGGTCAGTGTTAGGACCCGCTTTAGGGGGGTCTGCCTTGACGTTGGCAGGCAGGAATTCCCTCCAATGGCCATTGGAGCAACTAAATGACCTCCATTTGTCTAAATATACATAGGGATTAAGGTAACTTTTTCTTTTCTTTGGTTTTTACTATATATTGGGGCTGATGTGTACTGCCGTCATTGCTGCTGGCCCAGTAGTGATGAGAGTGAGCTCAGGACTTATCTTTTTGTATTAGCAACGTCTAAGACCATCTTCAGTCTTTCATCATGTTCTTACTTGGTTTTACCCCAGATCAGAATATCATCAGTGAATCTAGTTGTGCCCGGTATTCGTTCTAGAAGTTGCTGCATTGTACTATGAAACACTTCTCGTGCTGAACACAAACAGAAGGGCAGTCATTTGTAACAGTACCTCCCATAAGGAGTATTGAAAATGCAGAGTTTAATGCTTTTCTCCTCCAGTGGAATCTGCCAAAATCCTGATGATATATCCAGTTTGCTGAATACTGTTGCTCCACTTAACTCCCCAAGCAATTCTGGTTTTGTTGGTAAGTGGAAGTGTTCTCTTAAGATGCTTTTATTCAGTTCTTTGGGATCAATACAGATTCTGAGAACCCCATCCAGTTTTTTCACCAACACCATTCAATGAACCTATTCAGTAGGCGTCCTGATTTTCTTTTAATATCTTTTTCCTGCATCCTGGCAAGTTCCTATTTAAGATGATCCCTTAGAGAAACGGGAATATTTTGCAAAACATGCACTACTGGATGAGAGCCTTCTTTTAGTTGTATTTTATCTTGCATTGGAAGACATCCGATTTCTTCAAAAACATCAGCATAATCTGTTAATAAAGTCCTCTTCTTTATTCGTTCCATCGGCATTTACCCTTTGAATCAGACCTAAAGTTTCACACATTTGAA